AGCAGAGCAGTGGAACACCCCATTCACTTCATAAAAAACACCAAATCTTGGGTTCTGTCCCCAGGTTCAGATTCATATGCTCAGGGTATTACAGGCAGCACCTAGTATAGCTCAGTTGCCCCTAAGAACTGCTGATAAGGGGCTTGAATACCCTCCCCAATACCCCTGGACCCAAGCACAAAACTGTCAGGGGGAGTGTCCCCTAGAGTGGGCACAGGGTCCCCCAGCACCACTGGAGAAGAACTCAGTTAAAGAAAAGAGAAGAATCTCAGGCAATTTTAGGTTATAAGAAGCAGTGTTTTATAGGCTTCAGTCCAGGATGAAATCTTACACATAACCTCCGAAGCCGATTCAATCATCCTCATTTCTTATTTATTACTCCCCTTCCAAACTTTTGCTCCAGGCAGACTGTCTGTCAGACAGACCCAGAGCGTCCTCTTCTCTTTGCTCGTGTTTCACTTATGGATTCTACTCACACTACACTTAAGTTATTGTCTGTGTGCATGTACATCCCTCTCCCCAGGATGCCTGCTACTGGCAGGTGTGCTACCCACAGCAGGCTGGAAAGTAACTTGGTCCCCACTTTCCTTGATCTGGTCACACCCACTTTCCTCCCAAATCGACCAGTCACAACCTCACTCAGAATAAAATCACACAGAAAGCCCACTTTGGGGACAGAACAGAAATTGTGAATCTCGTCCTTGAAATGGATGTTGGAGTGGTGCCCTGCCCTGACACACCCGAAAGGCTGCTGAGTCACACCCCAATTCTATTCGGGAATTGAAGTCCTGCGGATGGGGACTGTGTATTATACTTGTCCCTTGTCACCTCATCTTCTCTATGAAATAAGAAGCCAAGCACGTGTCAGTGTTTGGTGATCTGCCGGAAGGTGACACATAATGGCAGGGATGGAAAGAGTCATTACAGCTAATTAGTTGAGGCTACATCAAAATTCTCTAATTAGCTTTTTAAGAGATCTTGGCTCACAGAAAATATCAAAGCTCAATATATCTTCACTCCTACAAGAGCCTTAGGACAGTCTGTAGTGCTGTGGATATCACGGAACGCTAAGGGCAGTCATGAGAAATCAGTGTCTATCAGCACTGACTTCACTTCCTGGGAAAGAAGCTTTTATTACCCAGTGGGATTTAAGGAACCTGATTGATTCTGTGCATAGGGATGTCTAAAGAAATAAAGAGAAAGAACAGCAAAAGCTGTCTTTGTGAACCAAATATATGACCTCTAGTCTAAATTTCACCAGAAAACAAGACCCATTACGATCTCCCCAAACCTGCCTCTTGATACAATTTCCAACCCTCTTTCCCCACATCCTCTTCAGACCTGAAAGTCCTTTCTGGCCTTGGAGATGTTCCTGATCAATGCCACCTTTCCTTTGTTATGCTTCTGTTCTAAGTATACAATTTTCTATACTCCAAAAGTCATGTCAAACACTCACTCAACCCGTAAGATTAAATGTCACCTTCCCTCAAGAAAAGTTAGTTGTTTTGTTCCAGGGAAGGGACAAAGTCTAAACTGCTATGACTAATTTTTAGAATTTCTATTTAAATAAACTCAAGCAACTTTTAGAAGGGTGACAAGGCCCAAAGATCTTTAGATCTATTATAAAATTATAGCTCAGTGCTGGCTCTTACTGTTTAAAAAAACTCAGACAATTGAATGACTTACTAAGAAAGTGTTGAATTTTTGTGAGTTTTGACCCAACTCATACAAGGTATTTCTCCTAAAAATTGCTCAAGAAGGGATTTCATGTGGATTCTGCAAATGCTTCTGTCTAGGCTAGATTAATAATTTTGCTTCTCAAAATTGCTGTGACTGGGTGTTGGAAATGTGAGATCTGGATTTTACTTAACTTCATAAATTATCCCTACTTTAAAGATCCCATTAAACTCAAGAGACCAAATAACTGAGACTCAGACTCAGATAAGAATGGAGGAAGAAAGACTTACTACAGAGGGGGATTAGTGACGACAAAAATCAATGCCAGAAGCAATCATTGTCATTGAAAGAAAAGTAAATCACCAGTGAAGAAAGTCACAGCAATTTCGTGTTTGTTTTGGGGCCACATCAGGGCTTACTCCTGGCTCTATGCTCAGTAATCACTCCTGGTGGTTCTCAGGGAACTATATGGGATTCTGGGGAATCGAACCCAAGTGGGTCACATGGGAGGCAAGTGCAGTACCTGTTGTCTCTTCAACCCCCCAGTCACAGCAAGTTTGAGAAGCAAAATTTTTCCTCTAGTCTGGACAAAAGCATTTGCAGAATCCACATGAAATTTCTTCTTGCACTATCTTTAAAAACAGACCTCTGACTATGTTTGAAGCAGTGAGGACCATGAAGGTCTTATACAGCCATTGTACCCTTTTGGCGTGTTTCTCTGGCTCTTTCACTGTGCCTGGTAGATATTCACCAAAGGCCTTTCAAGTAGCTGGTTCTCTCATAGGAGTAGAACTCTTTGAATACCAATTTGTGGTCACTCTTCTGAACTTACTGCACTTTTCCAAGGGGAAATCACCAGAATATTGTCCCTCAATCACAAGAGCAATAATATAGCAATAGAAGCTAATACTAATTAAGCATGTAAGATGTATCAACAACTCTGAAGTCTTAATATGGATAATTTTAACTTCACAAATGATCCTCGCTCTGTAGATGAGGAGCTTTAAACTCAAGGGATCAAGTCACTGGCCAAGGTAATAAAAGAAGGAGGCAAGATGTAAGCACGAAGTTCAAGTACAGGACTCAATCTAGCACCTACGGTCACGGTCACGGTCACGGTCCTCCCGTTATTCATCAATTTGCTCGAGCAGGCCCAGTAACATCTCCATCGTGAGACTTGTTACTGTGTTTGGCATATCGAATACGTCACGGGGAGCTTGCCAGGCTCTGCCGTGCGGGCGAGATAAATCTCGGTAGGTTGCCGGGCTCTCCGAGAGGGGCGGAGGAATCGAACTCGGGTCGGCCTTGCTGGCCACTTGTAAGGCAAACGCCTTACCTGCTGTGCTATCGCTCCAGCCCAATCTAGCACCTAACAGGTACCTAATCAGCTGCTAGCACCTAGTCAACACCACTAAGCTTATGGTTATTGACCCATTGCTGGTAAGAGCTCCAATGAGCAGCTCTTCCTCTCCATAATGGCAGTGTTAGATACTACAGCTCCTAATGTACAAGCCCATCGTAGTCATGGAAGAAACGTGGCACTCAGTGTTGTAAGCTGTCACTGAAAATTGCCATGACAACGTACTTGGAGGATTTCTGGGTGAACCTTGGCAGGGTGACAAGTGCAAGCACTTTATCCCTTACACATCCTCACAAACTAAAGCTTCCGTGCAAGCCTCTGTTAGTTACTAGATTCCCGTGATGACCACGGAAATGCTGGCGCCACAAAAGTGTTGAAGATACATCACTGCAGCATGTAATTGCTGGCTAAAAATCTAAGTTCAGTCTTCATACTTCTTTCTCAATAGAGTCTTTCCCGGCACCTCATCACTGTTAAAACACCTCATCAAGTGTTAAAAGATTTTGAGATAACAGGAAGAGACCACTCTGCCATGCAAAAGCAGGGAATTTTATTGCTAGCTTGAGCTAGGGTCCGAGTCTCATCCAACGCAGTGGAGTCTTGACAAGAACCCCGACTCTAATTTTTGTCAGTATTTTATACCATAGGGTTACACAAGCTTCCATTCTTTGCTTATATACTGGTTTATTTTTAGTATTAACCCTCCTGATTTGGTGCTTGTTGATTGGTTGAGCCGTCCTGCTGGGTCCTGGGACTTTTCAAGGGGGGGGGTCTGGTTGGCTAGTTTCATTAGTTCCCCTTTCCCAGAAATGGAAATTTAACTCAGTTTCAGGAACTGGGCTTGCGGCCTAGCTGGATTTGCTTCACTTTTGCCGCCTGTCATAGCGTTGTTGTTGCTTACTGTGTTTCTCGTTTCATCATAAGTTATTTCTTTTAACTCAGGATTCTGTCTGTAACTCTTTACAATTCATTTTCCTTCTGGCGTAAGAAAATTTGCCAGGAAACATGGCAAACATAGCATCGAAATGCCAATTCGTGTAATTTTGAGATCCACGGGGCTCTGGAAAAGACTACTGATCTTTGAGCTGCCCTTGGCTCTTGATTTCCTTGATTTCCTCTATCCCTGGTAAAGGAAGTAGGGTTGGCTGTAGAAATCTGCAGCAAAGATCAGGTGTGCCTTCTGCTTCAGTTTTTCCCAGGTTCGACTGAATAGAAGGTCGAGACAAGAGGTCTATGCCTTTTCCCCCTTTGTTCACCAAAAAAGTCACTATCCTAAGAGGTAGTGGTAGGAGAACTGAGTGAGTGGGAGCGTTCACACATGGACAGCTGTGCATCTGGGCACATTTAATTCACAGGGAGTTGCCCCACAAGTCCTTTCACCAATTTTAGCATGTCCTAAAGTACTGAGAAAGAAGAGAAAATGGGGCTGCGAGTCCCAACTCGATTCAAGGGCATGGTAGCAGAGAGCTCTCCGGTGCCTTTTACACACATGTCTCTTCTTAAATACCTCTGAGAGCTTCTGCATCTTCAATGGGAAGCCAAAGTCACTACAAAGCCACCGGGACACCGCAGAAGCCACAGTTGGCGGGGTTCACATCTGGGGAGAGCAGGAGACTGGGCAGTGATCGAAGCGTCCAGCAGGGGGCTGGCATTCTCTGTCTATGAGTCGTCCAGCTTCCTCTTCAGAGTCTCAGCTCCGCAGAGCTGCCGTTTGCTGGTGTGGCGATGACGCGGGAAGCCGTCTGCCTATAGGATCAGAGGCCTCCTCTGTGCTGTTTTTTCCTACCCACTTTAAACCTTCAGATTCTAACTATCAGGAAAGGCAGGAAAGGCTGTGTGGAAAGAGCTGACCAAAAGTTCTTAGTGAACTGCAGCCAGGCCGACTCGGCTGAGAATGGAGCTAGAAAGACTGACTACAGGGAGGGATTAACTTGAAGCCTTGGGGGGTCTGGGGGGACGAGGGCTGAGTTTGGGATGCTGTCGGGCTGTGAGCTGACTGGACTCAGAGATGTGTTGCATTGGTCACTGGAAGGCCAGAGCAGCGCCAGCCTCAGTAGAGTGACAGTCGTGCCCGAACCCCATCATCTCCATGGACTCTGAGCATTTGTGTAGAAGAGCAGGAAGATCCCGGCATAGACCTTGTGCTCACCTTCAGCCAACTGCAGAATCGAAAGTTCAAGAACCAGCAACTCAAGACACCTCTTGGGTTAGCCAAGAGTCGAGAGGATGGCTCTGAATGAATCCTTCCTCTGGCACTTGAAATCGGACGCCTGGGTGGCCTACAATGACTCCAATCACAGCACGGACGTCCTGGAAAATGATGACTGGTTCCACCCGGAGATCCTCTATGTCATCCCTGCCGTGTACGGGGTCATCATCCTCATAGGCCTCGTGGGCAACATCACCCTGATCAAGGTCTTCTGCACGGTCAAGTCTATGCGCAGTGTGCCCAACCTCTTCATCTCCAGCCTGGCTCTGGGAGACCTGCTCCTCCTGGTTACCTGCGCGCCGGTGGATGCCAGCAGGTACCTGGCCGACAGATGGCTATTTGGCAGGATCGGGTGCAAGCTGATCCCCTTTATCCAGCTCACCTCTGTGGGGGTGTCAGTCTTCACACTCACAGCTCTCTCGGCAGACAGGTAAGCACTGGTGCATGCGAGGGACCGGCCCTTTGAGGATGGGACAGCCGAGTTGCCCATGGGACAGACGGTGCTGTTGACACACAGGAAAGTTTGACTCAAACTCAGATTCCCTTTCAGGCTTGTTCTTGCTTCAGGGAAGACTTCTGGTGTTTGGCGTGTTGGGTTAAGAATAAAAAGTGAGTGCCTGGCAGGGACACAGACAGAAGGGTGGCAGGCAGAGGACCCCTGGAACCCAGGGCATCATTGCCTTTTCAGGGGACGAATTGATTTAGCATTGCCTTTTTACTAACTTTTTCTCCCAGCAAAATTAATTGACCAGAGAGAAAAACAAGCACCTCACCCCCATTGAGTTTCAACCCGAGGCAAATGCTTTTCAGAAGCAATTGGGAATCGCCAGAGAACAGGGAAGTTCCCCTGTATTGCTTCTTCAAAATAGCCCTTCAGCAATCCAGGAGACATGCGACTTTTCCTTGAAATTCATTTTCCTCGGATGGTTTCAGTATTGTCACTGCTGATGTTTGTCTTTGACTGCCTGTAACTCAGCGCTTTGCATTTCAGACTTCCCAAATATCCCAAGTGAAATCAAGCATTATTTGAACTTTGTTTCTGAAGAAAACTGGATATTGAGATGGATATCTAATATTACTATCTTTTTGGATGTGTTTGGGGTTTGCTTGTTTTGTTGTGTTGTGTTGTGGGGAGGGAGAGGGAGTTTTGTATAGTGTTTTATTGGGGAAATATATATATATTTGTGAAATGCATTTCTTATATGAACATATGGCCTAAAATTCCCGTTGATTCATTCTGAAAATTTATATTTACTTTCTGAATATATTTATTCAGAGCCTCTCATGTAAAAAAAAAAGAAAAAAACGCTTGCTTGGACTAACCAGTCAGACAATATCTTCAGGTTATTCACACTAATGCTGAATGTGTCTTACGTACTTCTGACCTTCTGATATTGGACACAGGCATGACTAGACCCTCAAACGCATCACACTCCATGTGGTTAAAATAAGAAACTGGTACAGTAAATCAGAGATGATAAACTTTTTAAAAGCCAGTTGTACGTTCGTTACAGACTGTTAACATTATCTCAGGATTTGGGAGTGTACCAAAGAAGGCAGAGAATCAGCTCTTGAAAGTGTTTGTTTTTTTGAAGAAAATGCCCCACGTTTTAATACACATGGTACTGCAGTCTCGTTCTGCAGCGACTCAGTTCCCAGGTGATCTTGCTTTGTGGAGTGATGGACAAATAAAGATAGTGCTATCAGACATGTTATGGACATGTGTTTAGACTTAGCTGTGTGTTTAGACTTAGCTCAGCACACATGACATTGCCAAATTGAGAAGAACTAGTCCAGAAAGGTGGCTATTACACTGCATTGGCTGGACAGGTCTTGTCTCTTCCTTTATCTGCCCTGCACGTATTTGTTCAGGAGCTAAGAACCCTAGGCAGGTACAGGCATTGAGGCAAGAGAGGAAAACTTTGCAACTGGCACAAGGATGGGGGTCCATTACCCATGGCCCGGGGCATCTTAGAATGATGATGGTTTTCTTGATGGGAAGATGAGACATCACTGGCTTCCAGGTTGGAGACTGCAGTGGTCCAGATGGTGTTTTCTGTTTTCTGGGCTGAGGGGTGGAAAGGAGGGTTAGAATGGGGTGGGTGTGGGCATGAGCTCGGACCATGGAAAGATGCAATTATGTGAGCCTCCTCTTGGCCTTTCAGTGTAGACCCACTTCAACACCAGCCAGAAGGCTGTGGCAAAGGCTAGTGGCACCCTTTGGTATACTTTCACTGTGTTCAGGTTTATGGAGACTGCACTGCGAGATCAGAAAGTAGTAGGTTTTTGCTAAGTGGGTTAACTGAGTCACGGGGAGTGACAGTATCTCACCACTTTCAGCAAGGATGGATATTGACTTAGTTGAATAAAATAAAACTGTACTTGGATGGGGACGGGGTTGTATAGTTAAGTGACCAACGGCATGAATTTTTTGGAATTCAATCACTGGCAACCCTCTATCCCCTCCCGAAGAAACAAAAAGAAAAGAGGAATATGGGACTGTGCTGTTCTATTCATCTCATTTTTAAAAGCCATCAGGGTCTTCTCGTGAGGTTGGCAGGGCAAATATGTAACATGCACTTCTACAAGGTGTGAGCTGTGTCAGCAAACTGAGCAAGTACACAGATGTTACTCTACATCTTCATAGTAGCCTGAGCACCTCCCAGGTGGAGACAGGGAACTGTGTCAATTTCCAGGGATGTCTTTTATTCACCTTTCCAGTTAAGGCCCAACCCTGAGAGAGCCAGTCACTGCTTTGAGTCCAGTCCCCACAGATTATTTTCTCCAGTTCTTTAATCTTCTATGAATGGAACCATCTTTTTATGCTGGTGTCAGCATGCTTGTGACTGGCGCCCATAGCAATGATTTGCTCTCTAATTGCTGTGTGCTCATCATTGGATGAGTATATGTCAGTTTCTCCCCATTCTAGTCATGCTGATGGACTTTTAAGTTGTTTCCAGTTTGGAGTTGTTAATAACCTGCTATGGAGATTCTGATGTATGCCTCTGGGAAAGAGAAATGACTTCTCTTGGGTGTATGTCTGACAGTGTAATTGTTGTACCCTATGGGACATATATTTAGTAAATACCATCCAAGTGTTTTCCAAAGTGGTGATCTGCATTCAATAAAAGGGTGAACTGGAAAACTCTCCAAACATAATGATTTTCACAGTCTCGGGGAGTTTTAAAAATAGATTCGGGATCAGAGAGATAGGACAGTAGGTAAGGCGATTGCCATAATTTCAAACCTGACACTGTATGTAGCCCCTCCATGAGTGATTTCTGGAGAGCAGAGCCAGGAATAAGCCCTGAACACACCTAGGCAAGACCCCAAAACAAAATAAATGAAATAATAAAAGTAAACAGATCCTTAGCCTCCACCCTCAATTAACTGCATCAGGCTCTGCGAGGACATGCAGCAACATCTTCTTCCTGTTCCTGCTCCCTGTATTTGGACAGCAGTGCTAGGCCTCATCCCAACCCGCCTCTTGCAGTTCTCGCCTTCCCCGGGTGACCTTGAACCTTTGTTAGTATAAGAAGTAACATTTTTTTTCTAGAAACGTTTATACTGCTGTCTCTATGTCAAAGGCAGACATCAAGCTGGTTCCAGAAACCAGAATTTGAGTTTCACACAGCTGACAAACTGCAGGCTTGCATGCAAGCTCTCTCACAATCAGGCCTCACCCTTCTCCCTCCATGCTGCCTTCCTTCTCTTTGTATCTTTCCAGGTCCTGGTGCACGGTGGTTGCACAGTCTCCTTTCTGGCTTGGTTTCCTTGCTTATATTGGGTCTCGCCCACTCTCCAGAATGTTTCCTCCTTTTCTAAAGACTCTACTTTCAGGGCTGGAGAGATAGCACTGCGGGTAGGACGTTTGCCTTGCACGCGGCTGACCCGGGTTCGATTCCCAGCATCCCATATGGTTCCCCTGAGCACTGCCAGAAGTAACTCCTGAGTGCAGAGCCAGGAGTAACCCCTGTGCATCCCGGGTGTGACCCAAAAAGCAAAAAAAAAAAAGACTCTACTTTCCATCCTAGGTGATGTCTGGGCTTAGGATGGGCCTCAATAGCCCTGCATTTTGGGCTCTTTTCTGCCGCTGCTACCTATATGAGCAAGTTGGATCAAGTAATTGAAATCTCTGACCTTTAGTTGAATAATCTAGCAGAGCTGAGCTAGATGATTATTTCTCAGGCATGTCCCAAGTTTTCAAACCCTAGAATTTTTATCTATCATCTTGCCTGTGGGTCAGAATCTGGTTCAAATCTCCTTATGCTTCTCAGTTGGACCATTCTACCCCAAGTTTTCTGACCTTCTAGAGACGAAGCTGAAATGATCTGAGGCATTAATTATCTTGAGACACCTTTCATCTTGCCAGTTGGAAATATGGCATTCATCTTTTTAAAGCCTCTCATATATTCACTGCTTTACCTTTTAAAGTAGATTATTATAAATGTTGAGAGCAGGAATTTTTTTTATATATATATTCTTACATTTTCTCCTGAGCCTCCCATGCTTTCTTACAATGAATGGGTGATCAATAAATATTGATTAATTAAACATACAGTTAATTTATGCATGCTATTTTCTCAGTCTTAATATTCTCTTTCGGTAATCTTTGAAAGCATATTATGAAATAGGTATCATTCAGCCACCTCATTCTTATTCATTCCTCTCTGTTAAACTTTCATAAATGAGGGAAAAATTATACTTTTTAAATCAGTAAATAGATTGGGGGTATAAACAGATGGGTGGGTAGTTGTAACAATGGATGAATGGATGAGAGGGTGAATATATAGGTGAGTGTATGGGTGAATGGATGGATAGGTATATTTTTTACAAATTTTTCTTTCCTGTGAGAGGCTCATTTCTGTGTAAAGTGTTGTCTTAGCTTTATGAAATTAACAAACCGAATTGGATCCTCAACAGAGAAAAGGTAAAGAGGATTTGCATTTTCTTTTCCATTAAGTGTAAAATTTAAGCTGGATTTAATGTTCACTGCATATAATGTCCCAATCATATTATGTCTATTTCAGTATTATTAGTCAATGTTCTTTCTGCTAGAATGGAGCTGGCAGAATGAATCCCAAAGACAGACTTTTGCTGTAGTATGATTCTTCTGCTATTACATGGAAAATATTACCTATAACTTTTCCACTCTTGCACTTAGAAATGTGCAGAAACAAGGGAAAGTACTGGGCCTGAGTGATAGTACAGCAGGTAGGGCATTTGCCTTGCACACATCTCACTGGGATTCGATCTCTAGCACACCATATGGTTCACTGAGCATCACCAGAAGTGACCCCTGAGTGGAGAGCCAGAAGTAAACCCTGAGCACCAACAGGTGTGGCCCAAAAACAGAAAGAAAGAGAGAGAGAGAGAGGAAAAGAAAGAAAGAAAGAGAGAGAGAGAAAGGAAAAGAAAGAAAGAAAGAAA